CAATTCACGTCCCTTTTCGCCTGTATCCTCACCCATTGCATTTCGATAGGATCAGACTTCCTTCTACGCATGTATAGCTCATGATCGCTAGTGCACATCGTCAAAATGCGTTTACTAATCTTGGATCTCCTCACTAAGGGATAGAATTCCTTTGCAGTCTTTTCTGCTGGTCTGATTATAAACTTCTTGTCGTGAAAAGAGAGGTTTCGCCTTTCCGGTCAAGGGAACCCGATTTTGGGGTATCTGCATGCATTGAACCAGTGCATAACCCGATGGAACCACTACTCATCCGCTTGTTCGTACTGTTCTTTTCCGGAAATCGGTTGATTAATTGGCACAGTTTAGCAACACAAACGTAAGATGTCAGTAGGACGGCGATGCCTGTTGGAAATTGATTTATCCGGCCACTACGTCGCTATTGAAAAACGACCTACGATAAACAAGCCGCAGAGAGAGATCCCATCTCAGCTGGAGCAGAAGGTCTCCAAAATCACTTTGTAACTAAAAGTCGTAAAAAAATGTTGGGCTCGCTTTTCACTGCCACCAGTGTAGCGTCCCAAGACTTCCTAGCTGGTATGAGAAGTCAGTAAGTGCAGTCGGATACATGTATTCCGAAGACGGCAAGAAAAATGGGCCTGGGCATAGCCTGAAGGCCAACACACGTATACAAGAGCCTGACCAATCCTAAAAGTTATAACCAAACGTCAGGTAGTCTCATAAACAGAGCATTCTACTCCTTATGATATTTTGGCGTTTGAGAAGCTCTAGGTGATTTCTTCTTTGATTGTGTAATGCTTTGTTTCTTAATCAGTGTTTTAGCGGCCCGAGGCTTCCTATAGGGTAGTAGGAGGCATAAGTGAGGTTGAATGCATGTATTCCGAAGACGACAGGACAAATGGGGCCTGGGCGCGGCCCGAAGGCCAGCCCACGTGTACAGGGGCCAGACGAATTCTGAAGTGACTGCCAAACGTCAGGTTGTCATATAAACAAAACATTACAGCAATCACAATAGAATTTGTCTGGTCCTTTAGGCGTTGGCTGGCCTTCGGGCAATACCTAGGCCCATTTGTCCTGTCGACTTCAGATTACATGTATCCAGGAAGCCTCAGGATGTAAGAGCTGCCAGTCTACCCTCTGGTCCTTAAACCTCAGACTCCAAGAAAGAGGTGGTTGCAGATGAGTTATTAGACATTTGTTACTAGGAAGGATGGGGAATGGGATGCAGATGAGGCGACTAGGAGATATCAATTGGAGGGAAACTTCTCGACTGCTTCACGCACGTGATTCTCGTCCCCAATTAGTTTCCGCCTCTCACCTATCAAAGTACACTTAAACAAACTAGTGTATATTACACTGAACACTATATATATATACTGATGGTTTTGAGTTTTTTCCTTGGAAAAAAGGCGGTTGGTTAGTGCGAACACGAAGTTCATGCTTGAAGAACGCGAGGAACATTCCTCGGAGTCACGCCAAATCCGTCCTCTTTTTCGTAGAGGATCTTTTTAATCGTCTTAAACCAGCCCGTTAATGAGGCCAGAGGTGCAGGTGTCTATGGACAGGCTAGGTAGTCTTACATGTAGAATACGCTAAGTTTGGTTAGATACATAAATCCAGGAAGGTTGGGAAAAATTAGTTTGAGTCTACATTGACAAATCCAACCTTAAAGTATCTGCTAAATATCGTGCTGTTTCAAAAATTAAGTTCTTCGAGTAGGCATATTTTACTTTTAAAATTTATTATCATCTTAAAATTTTTGTTGTTCATAAAAAACTGAAGTTAAAAGGTTTATTTTGTATTTTTTGCGTGCGCATAGTAATTTAAGTGTAATCACTACTTTTTAGGACCTGATCTCCTTTGTAACAGTATATTTTGACTATTTTTCGAATCACTTTCTTCAAGGTCAGTTAGCCCCTCAATTTACTCGTACAGACTCGTCAGTATAGTCTTCTGTCATCAGTTTGATCTCCTTTCGTGTGTGCAATGACAGATCGGAAGGGGTCAACTGAGAGTGAAATCGCTGCGGCCCGGGCCCAAACTGAGTCGATTCGCGAGCGGCTGGCAGCTCGAAGGCAGAAACGGAATAATTTGATTGCTGCTGCTACGCAAAACGCTCTCCCACTAAAAAATCCTGACGTTTCTGCCGTCGCAGCATTTTTAGCAGCTGGAAAATTGTCTAAGCCTTCGGTATCTTCTGTCGCCTCGTCCGTTTCTGAGAGTGGACTTGATTCATCGTCCTTAACTAAACGTGCTGAAGAAGGTTAGGCCTATGCTTCTTACCGGTCATGCTCTGTTTACTTGCTGTTTATCTATTATCTTGTAAATAGAGCGGGAAAAGACGTCTGATCCACATCTGGCTTCGGTTGCGCTCTCCGATTCATCGTAAACATTTCTTTACTCCGTAAAGAGCTTGTTTTGTAGTAAAAACGTCATTTCCAAGGATTTGAATGAGCAGGATGAGGACAAGCCTGTCGGTTCTGATGAACCGCCCTTGAAAGCGTCCAAGGTAGATCCCGGTGTTGACGCAACTGACCTTGAAGTTCTTTTGTCAGCCGTAACCGCGAAGGAACGTGAACTGAAACGTGTTAACGAAGAGATTCATGCACTTCTTTCGACACCTTCCGTGATGGAAAAAATCCTCAACAAAAAGTTTCGATCTCGTGGTGGCAGTCAAGTACAGCTATTTTGCATACACGGTACACGTATCGAGTGTCAGCAGGCTGCTGGCAACAACGAATGTACAAAGCTCCACTTCAAGAAGATTATCCAAGCTCATACTGATGGTAGGCTCAATTAAATGATTGAGTTTTGGTGTTCTTTTTATGCTATAGAATCTCTGGGTGACTGCTCGTTCCTCAACACGTGCTTCCATGTCGATACTTGCAAAGTATGTGGCAATACTTGTTGCTGTGGAATATAGTTTTGAACTATTTTAAGGAGGGATGCATCATATGTACCATAATTTGGCGTTGTCTTTGAAAAGTATTTGGCGTTTCTACTTATCTAGTACGTCCACTACGAAATTGACCCCGCAGATCTAACAACAGCAGAAGCCAGAGAAGCTGCTGGTGCCTATAATCGAGGTCAGCTTCGTCCGGATACTTTGGACAAACGAAGAGTCGACATGGCCGTAGAGAAGACAGCGTCTGCAGCCGCTTCCGTTCCTTTGTACCCTCCGCAGGTAGCATTGTTGCATTTCGCGTATGATTTTCATTGTTTCTGTGAAGCTTGGTTACTGGCGTACTTGCAATAACTACTGGAAATAGTCGACTTTGGTATACTTTTCCTCCTACAGTGGATAAAGTGCGATATCAGGCAGTTTGACATGACAATCCTTGGCAAATTCGCGGTGATAATGGCCGATCCACCGTGGGACATCCACATGGAACTGCCATACGGTACAATGTCCGACGATGAGATGCGAAAAATGGACATTCCTTGTCTCCAGGACGATGGATATATATTTCTTTGGGTGACTGGGCGGTACGACTAGACTAGTTGGAGTCCTATCAAAGCGTTTCATTTCCTGTAGGGCAGGATTCAATTAGTCTTTCTAGTTGTTCGTTGGCAATGGCTTTGACAGTGCTTGCTTATTGTTGTTTTGCAATATATTGGCGTCCTTTTCAGAACCTCTCATTAGTATAAGGAAATATTCAGTTCATAACTTGGCTACTTGATAAGCACATTTTATCTCGTTTCACCCACCTCTACGTTTTCAATGAAACTGAGACTCTGATTAGCTTGACATCAGATTTGCTCTTGTGGACTGATTGTCTCGTCGTTTATGTTTGCCTTATACTTCTTGTTAATTCCAAAATTTCCTTTGCTAGTCATCTGTGTTTGGTTCTTTACTTTCATATTTCGGTCATATTGTGAATTCACTTCCTGATTGCATCGAATAATGGTAATTTACATTAGTTCCGCCTAGTTGGATAATCTAGCTGTATTCGCATTTTACCGATATTTACCGTGTAAATATGGTAGTCCGTTGAAGTGTCATGGTGTTTCTCGAAGTTATTTTCTAACCTCCCCCACCTACTCATTCCAGTGCCATGGAATTGGGTCGAGAATGCCTCAAACTCTGGGGTTATGAGCGTGTGGACGAGGTGATTTGGGTGAAAACTAACCAACTGCAACGTCTCATCCGCACAGGGCGTACTGGGCACTGGCTGAATCATGGGAAGGAGCACTGCCTAGTGGGTGTGAAGGGCTCGCCGCGCTGCATGAATCGAGGACTGGACTGTGATGTAATTGTGTCGGAGGTGCGCGAAACCAGTCGCAAACCCGATGAGATCTACGGCCTCATTGAACGTCTCTCTCCAGGAACTCGCAAACTCGAGCTCTTTGGGCGGCCGCACAATCTTCAGGCCAATTGGTGAGGTGGTCTCTGTCACTGGTTTGCATTAATTACGTTCAAAATTGTCTTTGCAATGTTTGATTATTCCTATGCTGTCGCTGATCGTTACGCTTCGTTTTAGAAGTTCTCTTAAGCAGGTGTTGATACGATTCGGCATGGTCTTCTTTAGTAGACTTTCTTCTTGATCATATGCACTCTTTCACAGTTCACTTGGTTTCTCCTTTGTCGGACTGCTACTGACGGTCCATATTTTTTTTGCTGCACGTAGTAAAATAGGTTCCAATAAGAATGCTTTTATTGGAGGCCATTGAAAGCGTATTCTGCTTAGAAATTCAAGTCTGCAATGTGCTCTAAATTATGTACGCTAACAATGTTGCACGGATTCTTGCCAGTGAATGCACGATTGCTTTGGTGCGAGGACACAAGTCGTATCTGTGTTGTGCCTTTTGGGTTTTCTACCTTTGGCACGCTTGTTGTTCGTGCTTCCGAACATGCTGTTACACAGGGTTCTGGGCATGACTGTAATCTATCTACACAGAGACTGAAGGACTAGTGGCATATTTCATGCTCCATATTTTAAGAATGAGGATGAAGTTGCTTGCTTGACTTCGTGCCGATTCTGGAAGCGCGAGTGCCATCTTGTTGGTGAGGCGTTCAACGACGGGTTTAAATGTGTGCATTCCGATATGACTTTGGGGCCGTTTTGGGAAGGGATCTTTGCTGATGGGAGAGCTAAGTTTCTATCAGTCAACGCAGCATCTTTGATAACCTTTCTTCTGTTTTCAAACACTTACTTCAAACTTAAGTCATTAAACATTTTAGTCGACTAAAGTGTTTGCAGTCATGCGATAATTTTCTGTTGTAAGATGGCCAATAGGCTTCTGGGGGGTATTGCTGGGCCTGTGTTGTGTAAATTAAAATTTTGTTACCAGCTTCGCTCGCATGATAGGGTAACTCTTGGAAACCAACTGGATGGGACCTATCTCGTTGATCCCGAAGTGGTGGAGCGTTATCGCAGGCGGTACCCCAAGGGAATCGACAATAAGGGTGATACCTCTTAGAGTTAATATTTGTTCTAAAGTAGCAATAAAACGTCTTTTATCTCCTTTTGCATTGTTGAGTTCTTTCTCGAATCGACGGAACCCACTGTTAATTCTTTCGACTAGTTTGTTTGCTCCTAAGTTCAAAGTGTTTATGTGAAACCCTCTTCAACTAACTACGCAGCGCTTTTGGGTGCGTCGGACTGCGTGTATTTGGTTACGTTGAACTTGGCGAAAAAATATAATAGTCATTGCAATGAGGAGTTTTGTTTTTTTCACGACCATGCACACAAGATAGATTCCTACCTCATGACGATGGTAGTGATGTTGGCAAAGAGGAGGCACAGGACCAGGAGGAGATGAGAGTTTGTAGATAAGACTGGATTGCATGGAGTGGGAATTAGAGGCGGACCTTACCTTTCCTACTCTCATCGTCACTTCCGGGTTCGGTGTTGCATGAAGTTGTAAAGGAGAGTGGGAATTGGGCGCGGTGAAAGCGGGATTGATTTGACTTGGTGTAGGGATGTGTCTGTTGCATATGAGGAGCAGGACTTATACGGAAATGTGTTTCGCGTGAGAGAACACTTCTCTATTTCCTCAGTATCGTAGAAGTGCGCCACGCTCTTGAGTGTCCAGTTGAAGGAAAGGTAGATTCTAAGGCACATGGGTAGTAGTAATGCAAGAAGGTGATGCATGCATAGATTGAAGTTGTTTTCTGAAAAGGAAGTAACGCAGTTCATAACTTACGATTCTGATACCCACCTGTCCGTCAGTAAGTCTAACTGGTCCTTCATCCCTCCTCTGCCATTCCTCCTTTTGACAACTCATTAGTGTCAACCATCCAGTCGTCCGCCTGCTTAACTAGCATTCACCATACCACCTTTACGTCTCACCCTTAAGTAAATACAACTGTGCCTCTGCATCCCTATCGTAACTTTCGTTGTCAGCAGCAAATCGACGACTTGATGGAATTTCAGTTGCGTGGGAAGACGTGCGTTTTGCACGAGGGACGAAATAGATGAATTCGCTACTGTTGCTATGCAATGCCTTTTCTTTCTCCTCGTACACAATCTACACACTGAATTACTGCTTCAAATTTACCGTAGTTTGCACGTTTGCTTCACGGCTGACTTATCATTGATTGAGGCGAGGAGGTAAGTAGGCGTTCGACTTGATGGGAGGTGATAGGTGGGAGGAAAAAGATGGTGCTGTTGATGATAGCAAAATGCTCCAAACTGCTATTTGTTGCAAAGGTGTCTCCAGCTTCCTTGAAACGGAAAGTGTAAATAATTTGGTTCCAGTAATGGTGAAACAGCAACAGTGGTAACACCATCAACGTCATTATCCGGTAAATGGTGCTTATTGCTTGGATGGGCGGGTGACTCATTGGGGTCTGTCGCCAACTGTCACCAATGAGTGATCGCATGGTATTCGATGGAAGTTTGGAACACAGGATCCAAGAAATGTTAAATCAAGAAAAGATGCAAAAACTCGTCCATGCAGAAATTTACTCGCGAAATGGAATCTTTAAGAAGGAGTTCGGGTTACCTGCAGGGAAAGGACGATCTTGTTACCTACCAACGAGTTTAGGGTGAGGAGATTGTCAGGCCCTGTAATCAGTCCGTAAGCCGAAACAGCTCTAATCAAATAACTAATTGGACTACATCGACTTAGCCCAACCGCTCACTCACCTTCCTTTGTAAAAACAAACCATATCAAAAGTTGTTCTCACTGATTTTATCTCCCAAATTCTCTTTAGCTCATTTTAATTCAAACCGCTCCATCCCATTGATTCGGCTAACACGGGAAGGAGTAAGCAATTGGGCGTCAATCAAAATGGCCACTTTTATTTGTCATTTAAGAGTCGACATTCTTTCTCCATTGTCGTACGTGCAACGTCGATGAAGGCGTTTGCGAGCATCGAGGCAGAGCAGTCAATGCGGCTGCTGCATGTCGTTGTACATTTCCACTTCGCCTAGACGCAGCGGGGTCAAGCAAGCGGGGTCGTTGACCCACCCGCTGACCACGAATCGCTGGTGCGGTTGGTAGGGCTCACTCTTCGTCTCTTTACATCTTTGCTCCTCATCCTCGCTCCTTACAGGACACTTGTGTGTATGCATGTAGGGTTGCTACAATACTGCCACCACCACGACTGCCGCATAAAACTTCAAGTACAGTGGAACGCCCCAACGCTACCCACGTTGCTCTCGTTCCCGTCACTGCGACTGACCCTGCATATCCTGTTATTATGTGAGCAAGAAAGTGTGAGCAAATCTTGTTTTGCTTTGCAAAAGTTTTGACCCAAGCTGCGATGGCGTCCAACGAAGCCTTATCATGGAACATTGAAATCGCTGTTTGGAATATAGTCCCCTCTTCTTAACTTCATTCTGTACGCGAAGATACGTTCAGCGAAAATGCACAGCTCGATTAGCACCCCCATTCTAGCCAATTGATTAAATGACCAAATAATCGATTGTTCCCACGACTGCGTGCTTAATTTATCGATCGGATTGGGTGATCGTTACAATTTTATTTAAAGTATCTAAGATCTTGTAATCTCTACCACTTCAAGCATTACTCTCTCCTGATGTTTCATATTTTGATGCTCATCCTTCTCTACCTACTACTGCTCCTGTTCCTCTGGCTTGTGGACTTCTTCATGGAACGTCGATCCCTCCAGTCACAACAACACGTCACGACGATAAGGCACGGCTAAAGGCTATGAAAAATCGATTTGTCATACTAACAACCATGATAATCGCTTCTGCAAATGTTTCGTGTGCCACTATTGGTTGAGATCAAACATTAAATTAACTGCCAAATCTTGACACGCATTGCGTCTGAGGAGCGCCAAAGCACGGATACGCTCATAGCTAAAGGTACCAGGAGACTACTACAGTTCAAAACTACGGCAGCAATCGCAAAAGGCGTTCAACCTCAGGATACTTACAGCAAGGTCACCCGTATAATGCACCACCGTTTCAGTCTTTTTCCGTAAAATGTCATCCCCATTTTCTTGAAGGCTCCTCTTAAACAGAAACAAAGTCTCACAGTCACGCCAACCTAATGTCATAATAATAGCAATACTGGGGCGCAACTTTACACTTTCCAACTCAATATCAATTAGCTCGCTTAATTCGAAAAAAAATGAGGGCAAATTCTCTGATCCAATCTACGTTAACACAACCATCTCGACTCAAAATATTGAGGCAGACATTGTAGCCCTCACCTCTCCCCACAGATAACACAATGACCATGGTTTTGAAGTCTAAGACTGCTATTGGCGCATTAGGCCGCTTTGTTTTATCTCACGCCAACAGGCTAATCACTCTTAATCTGCTACAAATGCATCATCTTCAGTGATTGGTAAAAAAATAGCAGACCATCGCAAAACGCACACTTCCTCCATGTCAATGTTAAAATCAACTTTTTTATTGGCAACACCATTGCAAGCATGAAGAATATCGAACATCAAGATTCCGCCTTATCCCCATGTCTGTTGAGATTACAACACAAGACGCTCAACACACCCAGCTCAACTGCAATGGGATCGTTCATCTAACTCAAACACACCACGCCGTCATCAAATGCACAAAGTCCATGTCACCTCG